GCCTTCCCGCTGTAGTTTGACAGTCTGTTCGATGCTGCTCTGCCTCTGTATCTATTTTTGTTCATCAGTTTATAATGGTCTTTATTATCCATAAATGAGTGAGATCATGTGGTATTTTTCTTTCATTGACTGGCTTATTTCACTTAGCATAATGCTGAGGATATACTCTTTTATCAAGAGGATAATACATTTTTAGTTATTCATTATCCCAAATGTAACTAACCCCCACCCTTGCATAGTGTGTGAAGTATGGGGGAAGTTCGTGTCCTTTGGGAGGTGAACAGGGGAGAGGACCACGCTGTCTGATGCTACCAGTCCACCCTGGTTCTGATGGCAGAACCAAAGCCTGTGCTTAGTGGACTGTGGCTCTGCTCCGTGGTTGCGTCAGCGATGGCGGTGGTGAGGCCCATGGCACCCCAGGCTGGATGTCGGGAAGAGGTGTGGTGAGTCATCACCGTGCAGGGAGATTTCAACACAGGCTGTGAATGAGAGCATTTATTCCTTCAAAAGTCCACTCACAGCCAGAGGAACTTTGAGACAGCTGCCTTTTCTTGATCCTTCCTTCTGAGTTCTGGCTCCTAGGTCTTATCTTAGGAGGCCAGCTAACTAATTTGAAACGATTTTAAACACGACGTTCACAGCCTGAAAGAACCATGGTATTTAACACAGTTCGGTAGTGAATACTTTTACAAACAAGTTTGTATTTTATATTCAGAAATGCCAAATGTATCAGTGAGGGTAGTTGGAGCAGGGTAGAAAGGCCATGTCTTTACCCAGCCACCCGATGAAACCAGTAACGATGTCATTCTTCTCCTAGATATACAGCTTTGGAAAATGTTTTCAGCACAGATCTGAGGAACATTTGGGAAGAATATCTCAGTACGGAGAGGTGATGAGGGCAGACCTGCTTTATTTCCAGGGGCCCATCCTGAGCCATTGCCTGGGCACCTCCGAGGGGGTGGGAGAGGGCCTGGGTGTGGGATGCTCTCTCCGCTGGGCGTCCCTTTGCTGGTAATTGGAAGTCTTTGCTATGATGAGAGTGTCATTTTGGTTTTGTATAGAAAGTGACATTTGTCTATTGTTTCGAAATTGCCAGAGTCTCATCAAAGCCAGATCTGAAAGCAATTTCAGGGTCATACCAAACCCCAAGGAGAGAGAACTGCAGCACTGGGGGAGAGGAGGGGGGAGGAGGGCTGGATTATATCCTCAGCTCTTCTCAGCTGTCATTCCTAAGATTCCTTCCTGATGAGTTGAAAGTTTTTGCACAACAGAAATGTAGTATTACATCTCCCCACAGGTTGCTTCAGGTGATACATTTATCTCCTTAAGTATATAGTGTAGACTTCCTCCTTGTCCCCCTCCCCCACACCCTAATGGTGATCATTCTTTATACCTTCCTTCCTTCCTTGTCCAAGGTTGGAGCTGTTGAAGCTTAAGGAACTGCTGCCATCCCTGGCTGTGCCTGCCTGGCGTGTCAATAAGGCCTTCTTTGCAGCCTCTATGATTGTCTGTTCCCAGCTCACGAGAGCATGAATACTGTGCTGTTTGGAAGGAAGCCCATTATAGCAGTGGTTCTCAACCTTCTGGCCCTTTAAATACAGCTCCTCATGTTGTGACCCAACCATAAAATTATTTTTGTTGCTACTTCATAACTGTAATGTTGCTACTGTTATGAATCGTAATGTAAATATCTGATATGCAGGATGGTCTTAGGCGACCCCTGTGAAAGGGTCGTTCGACCGCCAAAGGGGTCGCAACCCACAGGTTGAGAATCGCTGCATTATAGGGACCCCATCCCAGGAGGAGAGGCAAATTGGGATGTGAGGTCATTGGTTGTTTTAGATTTATGATTTGCTCTGGGTGTATTTAGTTGTATCAAATGCTTGTCAACACCTTTTGCTTTTAGATTTTTTGAGGGGGTGGGAGAGAGGTTTAAAAACAAAATAATCATCCAAAGAAAACATAGGCTTTTCATACTATTTTAGCCTTAAGCCAGGGTAAGAGATAGAAAACTACCATTGAGTGCAGACCTGATCCTAAGTCATGGATGGTGGAAAAATACCCTCATTAGGACTGTGGTTATCTTTAAACATGTTGATGTTGTGCCAGGGAAGTGGTTTCCCTACTGTTTGGGGGATCTGTGGCATTGTAGAGGCAGAGCCATCATGATGGACGAGAAACAGAACAGATCCGTGGGCAGAGAACATTGTACAGTAGTTCCGGCTTATCTGCGGGAGGTAAGACCCCCAGTGGATGTTCTGAACCCTACATGTGCTTTGTTTTTTCCTGTACATACCTACCTTTCCACTTGAAGGAGGCACTTGACTGCTTCTCTTGGGCATCCCTGAATGGCCGGTATCACCCCTCCTGCACTTTGGGGCTACCGCTAAGTAACATAAGCAGGACTTAGACACCAGCACTGTGATAACAGGACAGAGGATCTGATCACCTAGGCGGCTACCGAGAGACCAGTGGGTGGGGAGCATACACAGTGTGGACTTGGTGGACAAAGGGATGATGATGTCCCGGGACGGAGCGAGCACTGGTCATGCTACTCAGAAAGGCATGCCATTTAAACGTTACGACTTGTCCGTTTCTGGAGTTTCTCACTTACCATGTTCAGACTGCAGTTGACTATGGGTACCTGAAACTGTAGGAAGCAAAACCTCGGCTAACGGGAGCTACCGTCCACCAGTTCTTCCCGGTCTGTGTAACACTGGCTGTTTTCCCATTTTCCCTTTGTTGTTACAGATGTGCCTGGCACTGTAGGCAGGCAATGCCCAGGTTTCGACCTTTCCGCTTGTCCCCGGGGCGGAGAGCTGGAGGCAGAGGCATCCTCTGTGGGGAGTGGCTGAGGGCGCAGGGCGGCTGGCTGCACAGGCCGCCTCCTGAGGGGGAGGGGAGAGGGCAGCGCTGCCCATGCCGCAGCAGATGGTCCTGCCGTCTCCCCATCACTCACAGGGGGCGGTAGTGACGGACCCGGTGAAGCTTCCACCAGTGTTGGCCGCTGTGACCAGCGGGGTGAAGCCCAGCACATGTCTCTTTCTGATGTGCTTCCTGCACACAGGCATCCGTAGGGCCAGCTGCTGTGTTTCGCTTCAGGACGGAAAGGTTTCCGACGGGGAAAGAGGAAATGATAGAATAATAGGAGGCTTTTCCACAGAGAGGAAATACCGTTTCCTAGCAAATACACAGAGGTTCACTATTTAGATTGCATACAATTATTGGGCGAGAGAAACCTTTTTAACCAAAACATCACCTTAATGATTTTTCCCCCTGAATTGAAAATGTTTTATTTTGTTTTATGTACAAAGAGCTAGCATTGTTTCTGCGATAAGGTAGATGTCTTGAATGACCCATTCATGGAAGCTCACTTATTCCAACTTAATGACGCCTGTGTCCTTTGTGTACTGATGGAAACACTTGGCCGCACATATTGAGGCCATGTTTCCGGACCAGACCAAGCCGATTGAGCGGATGCGGCAAGAACGAGAAACCTGGCCGAGTTTCCTCCCCCGTCTCCAGGGGAGCTGCTGGTGGCCCATCTTCCTTGCTCGGGTGCAACGAGGCAAAAGATTCAGTAAACAAACCCATATTCCATTTTAACTTTGATTTTTTTAAAAGTCAGCCCAGCCAGCATGGCTCAGTGGTTAAGTGTCGACCTCTGGAGCGGGAGGTCACAGTTCGATTCCCGGTCAGGGCACATGCCCGGATTGTGGGCTTGATCCCCAGTGTGAGGCGTGTAGGAGGCCGCGGATCAATGATTCTCTCTCATCATTGATGTTTCTATCTCTCTCTCCTTCTCCCTTCCTCTCGAAATCAATAAAAATATATTTTGAAAACATCAGAGTGTCGGGAGCATAAATTTATGTTGTACTTGCTTTAATTACCAAGTTTCAATAAAGAGCAGGAGAAAATGCAGAGAGGGACAACTTTGCATGATAGGCGGGAGAGGAGCTGCTGCCGGAAGGGAGAACTTAAAACTATCCTCTTTATCAGAGAAAAGTGAAAATTAGGAAGGGAAATAGTGGGTGTGGACTTTACATGATGGAGGGAGAGGAGCTGTGGCCGGAAGGGAGAAAAGTGAAAATTAGGAAGGGAAATAGTGGGTGTGGGATATGGGCTTGTTTACGAAATCTTGAAATATTGGGATGCAAGGGCGCTCTTTGGTCAAAGTAAGTTTAAGAGGAGACACTGTTCTGAGAAGAAATAGACTCCTGAGGAGCTGGCGAGGCAGGACAAATCCACGACCTGACGTGCTGGTGGTGGCTCCATGAGGACGTCTATTAGGAGTGGAGTTGGACCCGAACTTCAAGGCCCCTGCAGAGGGATGACCACATCCTCCCACAACGACAGAACATTCTGGGCGTCGGTCGCATTTATTTTTATAGGGGCTGTAACCCAGAGGATCGTGAAATAGATCAGGAATGAAGGTCCTTATGATAATCCAGATTACATGTTGCCTGTGTTACTTTAAAAAAAATCTATAGTGCCGTAGTGGTTAGATTATTAAATGAATTACCGCCTAGAAAGCTCTTAGAACACAGTCTAGCATTTGATCAGCATTCAGTAAGTGTGAGCCATTATTATTTTGGCCATAATTGGCTGCTGTCTCTTCAGGCACGAGACAAGGTGGGCACCTGTGCAGGTGCCTTGCTGGAGAGTTATGTGCTCTGATGGTCAGGGTCTGGGCTGACAGCGCTGGAACAACAGATGAGGCAAAATTGGATGATCTGCTAGCCTTCAGCCAACAACCCAGGCGGCGATGAGCAGGGTGTGTGTTCTGTACTCATATTACAGGACATTTGAAAAGTCTCAAAGAATGAGCTGTGATGCCAGATCCCTCACACAGACACTGCTGGTTTGGTACATTCCTTAGATTCTAGAGAGTTTTTTCACTTAAAATGTTTTACCTTCATTTTATAAACAACTGTACGTGGTATTGCCGCGTGACTGCAGCATTCCACCGGGGCCACGTGCTGGGTGATGATCGTATGAGGTACTCTCTGCTTCGTGACTCATCTTCACATGCTCTGAGCGGAGCCTTTGCCCTGTTTCCAGGAATGAGGCCTGAGGCTCCCAGCACCCTGCAGCTCTGGGGTGGGAGGATCGGAAGGCCGTCTCCTGATAGGATGAGGTCACTCCAGGAGGTTTTGGGGATGCACATCCTACTTAAGAATGTGGTGTTTGGCTCTGCGTAAGAGGGAGTGTGTTCTGAGCAGAGGAGGCACTGGCTCCTGGTGCTGGCGTTCTCATCTTCGATGCTCTCGCCTTTGATGAGGGGGATAGGATGGGGGTGGCTCTGAGAACACTCCTTTTGCCAGTGGAGCTGTTCATGAGGAAGCGGGTGGCCTTCTTTGCTATCCGGTGTGTCTTGTGTAATGGCACTCAGAACCCCAGACTTTTTCGATGTAATGGGGCAGGAGGTTCTGGTTGGAGGTACAGTTGCCTCCAAGCCAGCTGGCAGCAGGGAAGCACTGGGATTTCCCACTATTTTGCAAGATTATAATCTTCTGGAGGATGTGGCACCATCGTGTTATGGAAAGATTATGGGGTTGAATCTGACTTCTGCCACTCATCAGCAGGGATAGAAGGTGTAATTATCCCCAATTTACAGATGAGGAAATTGAGGCTTAGGGAGATTAAGTAATTTGCCTGAGGTTGCATAGTTAAGTTAAAAGAGCCGGGATGATCGCTCAGGCCTGTCTGGCTCCTGGACTGCACTCTTAAATCTCTCATCTCTCTCTCTTTTTTTCTTTCTTTCTTGTTTTAAAATTGCGGAGCAGACATTTTTATCCTCTTTGGTCCCATGGCTAGGACAGTACGATAGCCCCTTTCTAGTCACATGTATGAAATCGTAATGAAGAATGTGAACTTCAGAGCCCCACA